ACCCCGGGAGCACCGGCCTCTGCGCTGCACGTTGATGGGCGCGGCGCCGGCGGGCGCGGCGGCGCTGGTGGCGGGAAGTCCGGTGGCGGCGGCGGCAGTGGCGACGCCGCCGGCGCGCGTGACGGCGGACAGCCTCCGCCTGCTCAAGGTGTACGGCAGGTAATTCCCCTTCGCGGCTTTTGTGTTTCGGCAGTGGGATAGGGTAGGGGGGGGGCGAGGGGAAATGTTTATGCCGTCGTATTATGCCGTACATCGTTTACCGATGTGCATATTTACATTCTTGCCAAATGCCAACCTACCTGATGGTCTCCTCTTGTTCTAATGGGGCTGGGGTGGCACTGGCGGTGGAGGTGGAGGTGGTGGTGAACCACGCTGTCTTTGTATCTTGAGAGAGTATCTTGATTATAATCAATTGTGTCGTCATGTCATGTCATGTCGTGACATTAACAACATTACCATTGCTCGCATCAGCTCTTAAGGATTACATGAGGATCCATGGACCACATGGCTTACCGCTACTGCCGGGCCTCCTCCTTATACTCGTCGCCCTCCTCCTCTCCCTCCTCATGCGCCGCCGCCAGGGTGTACTGCGCACACATGAACCGCCGCGCCCTAAGACTAGAGCTGTACCGCTTCTACACCGATACCGTCGTACTGCAGCATACTTACGAACTGTTCTCACCGAACGTGGACCTCGCGGTGGTGGACTCGGTCATAATCGTTGTCGCGGCGGCGGCAGCGGCGCAGGGCACGGACAGTGGCGGCGCCGCTGCCCCGGCGGCGGCGGCGCCGCAGTCGGGCGTGGCCATGTTGTTCGACGTCGCCGCGACCACCTTTCAGCCCATCGCCAATCCGCTGCCGCTGCGGCCGCTGCGCCATGGGGTGCCGCCGCTGCTTCCGCCGGAGGCGGATGCCGCCGCCGCCGCCCCTGCCGCCGTCGCCGCCTCCGGCGGTGGCGGGAAGCGTCGTTGGGAGTACCTGGCCCCGAATGTGGTCCTGGACCGGGAGACGCAGACCGCGTACCGCTTGGCCGTGAACCTACCCGCGGTGGCGGAGTCCTGCTCGGACCCGGCGGTGCTGGTGGGCTTCCTGCAGCGCCGCAAGGGAGCCGCCCCCGCCCCGGCGCTGCTCCCGCAGCCCAAGGCGCTGCTCATGTGGGTGGTTCGTAACGCCCTGCAGGAGCGCGTCCCCATGACCACCGTGAGGGCAATATTCGATGACCTGTGCGCCGGGTACGCAGCGGCGCTAGACAGGGAGCTGGCGGCGGAGGCAGTGGCAGCGGCGGCGGCTTCGCCGCCGCCGTCGGCGGCTGGCGCCGCCGGCGGGTCGGCGGCGGCGGTTCCACCGCCGCCGCCACCACCTCCTGCGTCTGCGGTTCCCATGCCTCAGTACGTCACTGCCGACGAGCTGAGTCAGGGGCTGTTCCGCTGGCTTCACGACGAGGAGGTGGTGGATGCGCCGTACCTTCAGGCCGCTCTGTGGGAGTACATGTGTGCGGCGTTCACAGTGGGCATTCCGCTGCCCCGCTATCTCCCGGTGGGGGTTGGGTTGGGGGTTGGGTTGGGGGTTGGGGGTTGGGGGGGTAGTTTGCTCTTTTGCTCGGGCGGCGTGTCACGAGGGAAAACGGGATACAGACAGACAGACAGACAGACAGACAGACATTGCTTGTGGGAAATGGCAGGCTGGACCCGGCTGTAGTTATCGTCCGCGTGAAAACCCGCTTAACCCGTTCCCCCCTCGAATTCCTGGTGGAGGAAGAGGTGGTGGCGGTTCTTTTAGACGACAGCAGCTGTATCCTCTGTGGACTCGTGCCCCGCCCAAATCCCGCAAGGTACCACCCCCAACCTCCTAACCCGGATTCCCTTCCCCCCCACACACGGACAGGAGCTGTCCGTGGAGATACTGCTACAGCAATCTCAGGAGGGTCAGGTGCTACAGCTGCTGTACGGCCAGAAGGATTACGTGGCGGTGGAGGTAGTGAGGAGGCTGATGGCGGCACCCGCGGCGGCGGCGGCGGCAGGGGCAGCGGCCGCGGAGGCGGCAGGGCCCAGTAGCGGCAGTAGCGCCGCCGTCGCGTGTGGCGGCGGAACCGGTACTAACGGGACCGATGGCGCCGCCGCCGCCGCCGCGTCAGCACGCGGCCCTCTGTGCCCCCAGCTGGGGATGGATGCGTTGGCGAGGGCTGCGCTGGCGGCGAGGTACGAGCCCGTTGGCGGCGGTGTTGCCGCCGCTGCCGCCAGCGGCGACGCCGCGGTGTATGTGGAGGCCCTTCTGGCTGCTGGGGAGGTGTTGCGAGCCGCCCGGGTCATGCGGCGCTACCGGGTGTCGCGACCTAGCGTGAAGGAGTTCCTGGCAGCCGTAGGGGCTCGCGGGGATGAGGCGATGCTGGCGGCGGTGTACCGGACGTTCCAGGTGGGTTTTAATGGGTTTTCGGGTTTCAGTTGGGCGTCAGTTGTTGGGTTTTAGGGTTTCCTTAACCTAGTTTTCCCCCCGGGTGCTACTGTCTGTGTGCCGTACACGTCACCTCGTGGGTTGTGATGCGGCTTTGTAGTGCTATAGGGGGCCTGTGGGGGATGAGCAGATGATGGCCACAACCCCGAAGTGCGCGGTGCGTATGTATGTATGTTGTTACAGGGTGGTTAAGCTTCGCCAGCGCCCCCCTTTCCCGAGGCAGTCCCTGCTCTCCCCTGCTAGAGGGGCACCCTAATCCGTTCTCCCCATCCGACTTCAGAATGTATTCGTTGGGTTCGGCAACTCACCACCATCATCCAACCGAATCTAGCGGATCAACGGCGCCTTAACTTAGTTCCTGGTCAGCTCGCAAGTTGATATTATCACGTCCTACACCGTCCACAAGATGGGGGGCCACCTCCCATTTCAACACTCCTCAAACACCCGAGGAGTCGGCAGGCGGATTTGAACACGGACATATGTATGTATGTGCATGTGTGTGTGCGTGTCTCCCCCTGACCCAACCCGAACCCCCTACCCCAGCCATCACGCCTTCACGGATGTCCTCCACATGCCCTCCGCCGCACACAGGACGAGCTGCTTGCCAGCTACCCAAAATTCGACCTAGCGGCCCGCAAGCTCCTGCCTGCCCTGCAAACACCACAGCAGGCACTGGCGGCGGGTGTGTAGTGCACACGGTAGTGTTAGTGAAGCAAGCATACCTTGGTTGCCCCTGGAAATCGGTTGGGTTACGGTTATGATTACGGTTGGAGCAACGGATGAATGTGGGCGCGAGGATGAAGACATGGATTGTCAAGAGTGTTCCTGCATGCTGGGGATGTGTGTGTGTGCGTATGTATGTATGTGCGTGCGCGTGTCTGTGTGCAACACAGTCAAGGAATGACGAACCGGATTACGTGGGTCCGAGATCTGCCCGGCCGTCCGTTCGCCTCGCCGTCGCTCATTTTTTGTTTTAGCGGATTGGGGGTTTGGGGAGGGGTGGCCGCAACGGGGCTGTGGGGAGTCTCTCTTCCTCTCGGATAGCTTTTCGGTGCATTGGGTGCCTCGCCCCTCAACCGTGTGCGGGGGCGTGTGGATGCGGTCTGCAGGGCCTCAGCCATCTGTTGCGCCGCCCCTTTGTAAACGTGTGGTCGCCTCCTCTGGCCTGGCGTTGCCTGGAATTGGTGTCTGTAAGAGATCAGATAACGGCCGGGGAAAGGTAGTTCTTCTGCAGTTTTGAGCCCCTTGACGAACGTATGTCTTTAGCAGGGGGGGGCTGCTGCAGCTGGGTTAATTCAAATATTTTTAGTTCGCCTGGCTCGCGCGCTAGCTCGCGCGTTGGGGAACCAGAAATGCCAGCAGCAGCAGCAGCAGCAGTAAGGAAAGAACACTAATATCTCAAGCCGCAAAACGTGAGAGAGGCTAATAACGAAGCCCGGCCGCATAGGGGGCCGCATTTACCACCTGATGGGGCCGCTTGGACTCTTCCGGACGCTCGGAACAATGGCGCGCTTATGAAGCACTTGACTGGGTTGAACGATAGGGGCGGAGAGAAGCCTCTCGTTACAGATTCCGGCCAATCGCATGCGCACACACACAACTATCAACTGTCACAGCCGTCTGCCTGTCCTTTAACAGAACAACCACCACTTGTTCTGTTCACGGGTGTCGTCACAAGCAGGGCAGCAGCACATCCTCTTCATATTCCCTTTCGCGTTATGTATGTCGTACACAGGTGGCGTAGGAAGAGCGCCCTCGCTGAGAAAAGAAAAGCTTCTGGAAGAAATGTTTATTCAAGGGGAGGAAGGATTGTGGGAGGCAGTCCTGGTCGGTCGTCGCAGCGAGGAGGTCTCCGACGGGGGCGGACTTGGAACAAATAATACGATCTGACCGCGGCATGAAAAAATGCAACAAAAATGGGTGGGCAATGATGTGCAACGACCGCCCCAAAACCCTAAGCCAAGAAGGGGCCGGATTGGCGGACACACTGGTTGGTAGTGGCTGCAGGAGGCTGCCGCTTGCACACACACATACGTATACACACATACATACATACACACATACATACACACGCACGCGCATGTGTGTGTGCCAGCGTCGCATCTTGTGTACACTGACACGCAAACGACATTCGATGAATCATTTAAATTACTATTAATGTATTATCCTCATCTCTCATGTTCATCATCCTTTGTCGAGACACACAACGCTCTGTCGCCCATGTCGCATCCTCGGAGGCGCCGGGGGGACGTTGGGGTGATGGGGAGGGGATGGGGCGATAATGATGCATCCCACCCCTCCCTTCTAGCGCTCACATAGCCGCAGATCGGCCTCCAACACAACCTCATGATCCCGTTGCGTTTCAGCACAACTGATGTTGTTCGTTCTGACAACTGAGCCCGTCGCCATCCCGCCTATACCCTTCTAATCCCTCAAAATGCGGTGGTCGAGGCGGCCATCTGGGCACCTGCCACCGCGGCCGCAGCGGCCCCGGCTATTCGCAGCACCAACCATATCCAGGCGGCAGCGGCGGCGCTGGTAGTGACCATCGTTACTCCTCGCGGCTGAATCAGCAGCCGGATCGATGTTGCAGATGAGCTGCTGGGACTGGCTTGATGCTGCTGAGCCGCAGCAGCTGCGGCCGCATCTTGGAGGGTCCCGTTCGCGGCGGGTGACGACGTGGACCAGCTGCCATCGAGGGGGGTGGACCAGGAGGGCGGAGGGGTGGATGAACGGAAGGTCTGCAGCCGCGCAGGATCAAACTTAAAAGAGAGTCCACGGGCTGCGCAGACGGCGTTCAGGGTGCCATCAAAACCACTGAGCAGGGATGATGATGATGATGATGATGATGATGATGATGATGATGATGATGATGATGATGATGATGATGATGATGATGATGATGATGATGATGATGATGATGATGATGATGATGATGATGATGATGATGATGATGACGACGACGAGGAGGAGGAAGGGGAAGGGGACGTGAGGGGAGAGAAGGAGGAGGAACCGCCGCACGACTGGGTTAGGCTTTGGAGCAGTACGACCCATGGGTCACTTGACTGCTCCCTGAATAGAATGTCCTGTACGACCATGCTGTATGGTATACAAGCTTCATAGTCGCTGAACCATGTGCAATTTATTACTGGATCCTGTTGTTGTTTTTGTTGTTGTTGTTGTTGTTGTTGTTGTTGTTGCTGCAGCTGAGCGCTTTGCGGCCGCCAGCTGCTGCTTGTGGTACTGCAGGAAGATTTGGTGGTACGGCTGGTGCATGTGGACGCCCAGGAAGTTAGTGCTCGTCCTGCCATACAACTGCCGGTGATGGCCTGTCCGGCTGGGCCTAACATCGGGACGGCGACATCGAAATAGAAGTACTGCTTCTGAAGGAATTCATCCAGGGCAGCCTGCCATGCAGAAAGGATCCATGGTATTAGTTACGGCCTTGCGTATCAGGCAGTCAACATCGGGACGTTATTGTTAGGCCGCTAGTCAGTGTGTGTTGTGCGCTGCGTCGTCCAGATAGATAGACCGAATGACGCCCTTTGGGTTTCCATTGTCTCTAAATAAGGGAATTATGACACCCTGCGGTATCACTTAAAGTTTTATTCCCTTCAGGGACAACCTCCGAAGGGGAACCCTTTGCATATGAAAACCCGTAGGGTGCTAAAGAGCCCTTCCTCCAAGGAGAATTAGTTAATAGATCGACAGCTAGTTAGGTAGGTAGGTAGGTAGGTAGGTAGACAAATACACAGATAGATAATATATTATATATGGATCTATAGATAGATAGATAGAGAAATAATAGATAAATAGGTAGATAGATGGATGGATAGATAGGGATAGATACACCAGTCGTTCACAGGCGAGCGAGAAACTCGCGACAGTGCATGTGCATGTAAATACGGGGAAGTTGCCGCATTCCTTTATATTTGCAACAATAAATATATATGTGTAGCTGCGCGTCATGTCACGTCAGGGTCGTGACCCCTTGTGCCTCATGCTAACGGTCGCAACCCGCGCGTTGCAGCAACTCATCAGCAGGCAGGTGTGGGCGATATTGTATGGCTCCGAGCTGTACAGTACAAACGTGCAGTATTTGGTACATGCTGTATTTATGTGCAAATCTGCTCATACCTTCTGCCAGCCACCGAACGATCTGTATAGCTGCGTGAGGTGAGATTCGTTGACAGTCCATCTTTGGTGGGTTGGGGGGGTAAAGGCACGCGCATACACAGGGACGACACGTCACATTCAACAGGGCAGTGGGGAATTACACAGCGCCACAGCGCCAAAGGAAATGTGTGCAAGGTGCCACACAACTACTGTTCCCAGGGATTCCGTGCCGCAGGTGTTGCGAACCAACTTATCTGCAACAATAATCCAAGGGCGTCGAACACCATATGCCAATACGTGTAAGTATTTGTATGTGTATCTAAGCTCACAGAGCGGATTGCCACATAAGACCCGGTACGGGGTACGACTTCTCCGTACAAACGAGCCATTGCAGCATCAGCGAGTGGCGAAGTAGTAAGTGACCGCAGTGGGATTTGTACCGCTGAATTTAGGAAAAAATATTGTGATAAAACCAATATGCATATACAACTAATGACTGCGCACATGCTAACAGTAAGGCGGGATGCTTTAGTACGGCGTTTGGTAATTACATGAGCTGTCAATACTGCCATCACCACTGGTACGGCACTCACCTAGCAGCACAATAGTTGAAGGGCAGGACGCCGCCGCCTTCTGGATCTGAGATGTCGCTCGCAGTCGTCTTTAGCCAGCCCAAGGAGAAGGAGATGGCATTGTCAATGGCTGTCATCAGGATTGTTGCGGCCGACTGGGCAGCAGCACCACTGATATTGCTGCTGCTGCTGCTGCTGCTGCTGCTTGCAGCGAGAGTCGCATTATAACGCGCGACGAAGGTGCGATTCGTCCAGGTGCAGGCCGTGTTAGCGTTGCAATTTGTCTCATTGGTGGTCTCCAGGCAGTTAATGGCTTGATCAAGCAACGAGCCAGGACAGTAGACCAGGTTTCGGAGCAACTGCAGGGAGGGAGCAAGGGAGGGTGGAACTGTGCCGTTACCACATAAGGCTGTGTGTGTATGTGTATGTGCGGTGGACGGCGGATTGGTTCTCATCGCGCAACGACACGACTCAGGGATTGCAATACAGAGGAAGGCAGAGGGAGGGCGTTGATGCCGCGCCAGCATGGCTGTCCGCAGGTTACCAGCCTGGGTGGCTGCAGTAGCAACAGCAATAGGGTTGCACACCGCTCTCAATTGCACACCGCATAAGCTACGGCACCTACAGCGGCCGATTCAGTGCGTACACACAGATTTATGGAATGAATGCACCAAGCTGGCTTGATAGTTAGCTAGCTAGCTAGCTAGCTCTAGGTACGTATTCCGCCGCGTGATATGACTCACACTCGCCCGGGTGCTTGGGGTCCAGTCAAACGCCGGACAGCCGGCAACAGCTGTCGTGGTGTTGGGCTGGGCCACGGGGGCGCACAGATCCCCTATGCTGATGGCCAGCAACCTGCGTACATACAGGCATACAGACATTCAGGCACACTGTTTGGAAGGGTTATGGGTGGGAATCTTTGGGCTGGAGCGCTGCTGTCACCCATTTACCCTCCCTAGTGAAAAGAGCGAAAATAGTGAAGAGGGTGAAAAGAGCGCCGACGGGTGTTTTACCAGCACACGGCTATGTGCGCGTATGCCCCCCCCTCCCCGTTTTACATTCGCGGCATCAATAGCACCCGCCAACCCACTGAGCTACGCGGCCGTGTGGCGTTGGTGCTCCCGCCGGGTACCGTGTAGTGGCTGGTGCTCCAGCATGTGCTGCACTATATCCTTATTGTTGTTGTGCTCGTGCCATGTACGGCATGCCACTATGGCACTTCCCGCAATAATTCAAGAGTCTGTATGCACTTTTCCCTCGTCATGGCATGCATGCAAGAACTTGCGCGTGCCCCTTTAAACCGATCGCCGAATCGGGCTACACTACCCCAGCTACCAAACAAACCCATGCTCGTTAATGGTGTGCGGCAGCTAGGTCTATTATGATTGCTCCTGGCTGGGACAGGCCTTGCTGCGATACGTGCATTTGTGCATCTCTTTGCCGGCTGGCTGTGCGGCCCGGTGTAAGCCTGTTCCATGCATACACATGCACACACACAGATATTTCACATCCTGTAGTTGTCTACGCCTTTGTGCATTTATTGAACGCGCTTTACAGATGCTCAAATTCGGCGCAGGTGACAGGGCAGATGAACAGGGAGGAGCAGCGGGGTTGCAATATGTGTACGGCTCTGTCGTCCGTAGCATGCACTTATTGTACGGCCAAATTTTTGCCCTAGCGAGTTCAAGGGGGAGGCCGGCGTCCGCAAGTGCTGGGATCCATCTTTACTTGCCAAGGCCGAATCAGATTACTACTGACCAGGTTCAGGGGCACTTGCTGGAATCGGTGTTCAACGTTATAGGCCAAGTGATGTTGACAAGAATTCGACAGGAATTCGAAACGTTTTCAAAACTTTTGCATTGCGGATAGTGCTACCCAGCCCACAGACCATATTTACCAAAAATCATATTATTATAACATAGTTAGTTAGGTGGTACGCCTCGCAACTGCTGGGACTACCCGTCCTAAGACGCCTCAGCGCAGAAGCTCTGCCGCACAAAATGTTTTTTTGGGTAACATGTGACTTATTACATGCTGGCATAATTCACGTTTATATTCGTAATGGATAACCGGCGGGTTGCCTGCTGGTCCATTACTCTTTTAGGAAACGGGCTTTAAGGTCCGATGTACGTAGCTGCTTGCTGCGCAGCGCTGCTTCCAGCTGGCATAATATTCTCAACATTTTAGGCAAATCACGTCCGTTTGGAAAGCACGCACAGCAGAGAACACCGGAAAGTACATAGCCAACCGATTTAAGAGTGCTAGAATAATGGGAGAGAGATCTAAAGACAAGTTTTTTTAACATATCTGAGCGCAACACGTCGTATGCGGGGATCACGAACCTTTGGATGTCCGTCGCGGGCTCTCGGGTGGCCCAGCTTGCGAAATATCTCAGGTCAACGTAGCATCCTCCCTCATTGGAAGTGCAGAGGTGACTCTCCTGTTGGCTGCTATCTTGGGGGCCGCTACCTGCTGTGGCGGCGCTTACTGAAGCCAGTAATAGCGGGAGCAGCAGCGCCTGCTGGGAGGCTAGCAACAAATCCAAGCCTGTAGCACAATGCCGTTCCCTATTTCGCATTGAAATACGCCACGACGACTTGATAAAGAGCTATTACGTCTATTTATTCTGCTGAAGATTGCCGGCAATCGGCATCTGTTCTCGTTAAAAGCGCCAACTCCTCGCCCTGCAGCTGCGCCTGCTATGAGTTATTGATTTGAACCGGAACCAGGGCCGAAAGCTATGGACCGGAAGGAAAGGGTGTTTGCATAAATTATGATTGAAGATAGATGGACATGGCGTACTTCACCCTGGGAGCAAAAGCTTTCGTGCTCTGGAGCTCGGCACACGGAAAGTTATTGTTAGTTTTGTTGCTGCCCTCAACAAATAATTTCTTCAATATTATTCTTTTTTTTAACGAACAGTTAACCTTGCACTGCTTGAAAATTTAAGGTAGGAAGGAGTCGCGCACGGGCCATGACTTCCAGCTGCCGTGGCTACTTTCCCGCCGGGATTTGCCTTCGTCTTCATTTCGTAACTTTTCGTGGCGAGGAAACAATTTTCTGTCATATTTGTTTTCAATCTGTTAAATAGCCGACCGGGTATTAACGTAATCCGAATACCAAATATCCCCGACCGTTCCCCTTAACCCTGGACGGAAGGTGTGATGGGGCGAGGCCCTAGTTAACCGGCTCGCGGTTAACTTTACTAATTGGTCTTTCCTATAAGTTGAAGTACTGCATGGTGGCGGCGGCTTCCCTTGCTAAATCGCAGGTAGAACCTGACAAGCATTCGACTGTCTGACAACGGGCAGTGACGGGCAGTGACTCTGTATGGTATGAGTCAAGTGCGCTGAGCAAGAGTTCCAGCCTTGTCTAGTACCTTGCCCCCTCGTACAGCCAGTAATTAGCCATCTCAATTGCAAGTAATTAGCCATTGCACCAATACGTCAGCCGTGAATTAGGTAGTTAAGATGGAGCACGGAGCACAATAGGTTAGATAGGGAGACTCTGCAGAAAGGCCTTTCTGTACGCGTACAGCTGTAATACGCCTATCGCCACCATCTGTCTGCCTTTTGCCTGTACTACAACTACAACCGAGGACAGTTGTTGCGCATCGCAGAGTTGTATATTCACACCATACCAACGTCAGCATGCTGCAGCTCGTGACAGTGCTGCTCATGTGAATGTTGCAGGGAAAGTGAATTCAATCTTTGAAGATTGAACTCCGGTTGACATGCCCCGGTTGCTGCCGATTGTGCAGCAGCTGCTGCTGGCGACTACCCGCAAACATCGTGTCCACCAGCTCTTCTGTAAGAGGGATCAGCTCCCCTGGCATCTCCCAACTGAGTACTCTTTGCCTGGTGTTACATCTTCATGCGTCCCCAGCATGTGTGCTACGGCAGAATCGGCAGTATGCAACCTCTATGCTTGTCTCCTGGATGCGATGTGGCTTATGGATGGCTGTAGCACGGGCTAGGTGCTGACAGCATACGTGGAGTAGCAAGTGCATATAGTGGCACAAGGAGGCGCAGCTGTACATTATACTGGCTCAAACCGACTTGTGTGTACTGTATGTGTGTAGACAAAGACAATCATGGTGAGGATAAACTGAAGATGGTGTGAGGTGGGGTGCAGGCCTGCTGAGGAGTATACAGGATTACATAGGTTGTGAATCTCAATGACCATGCTGCCACATTGGGGGTTGTATTTTCAATGCCGGCGAGTGAAGCAGCTGCTGCAGGTCGTCATCCAACAGGCACAACCGCGCCTAGATCTCTGGGGTTGCGGCATGGTGGTGTGGAGGGGTGGTGGAGAGGTTGAGACGGTCAATGGCTGGCCTTGCAGAGAGGCCCTACATCATCACCTAAGGTCATCCTTCACATGCACAGTGCAGCCTGCAGAATGTTTATGCACCTCTCTAAGGGCTTGGAGTCGAAGCTGCCGCCATGCCCAGCATGTAGGTTCACTTCACTTGTCAAAAGCTCATGCTCAACTACTAGGGAGGTGCCTAATGCCTGCAATGACCTAGTTCTGGCCACTTGGCCAATGGACACATCCCACGAGGTTTCACCACATTGCCGTGCAAGTTAGAAGCACATGTGTGGTATTGGAGTTCAAGGACCGATTGGCGAGTGGTTGGAAGCATACGCGTCTAGATAGATGCCCACCGATCTGATTGATACTCATGACCTTGTAGAAGCTGGTGCACGTAAGTATGACGCACCCCTTGTGGACAGCAAGCGCGTCTCCATACTGTTGTCTGCAGACGATGTTAGTCTGCTAGCGACGTCACTAGAGCGAATGTCTGAGTTGCTACATCTTGTGGACTTGTTTTGTGAAGCTTTTGGGATGCGACCAAATGTCTCAAAGTGTGAAAGGCTTGTTTTTGCATGTGACGGCACCCAGCAGTCGGAACTTAGCGGGAGATGTCAACAGTTACGGCTATCAGGCCAGGTAGTACCTGCCAAAGATAGCGCTCGCTATCTGGGCTTGGTATATGGGCCAGAACGGCCTTTTAGTGCGTGCCGTCAGCAGTTGTGTGATACAGGTCGGTCCGCTATATTTTCCTTAAGCGCAAAGCTGGACAAAATGAAGCTGTTTGCCCCCGATGTGCGAATGCGGTGTTTTGCAACCCAAGTCCGAGCAATTCTGTTGTATGGCTGCCAGGCGTGGGGCCCTTTTGCGCTGGCAGAGGTCGTGGACAGGGCGGGAAGGCGGCGGGATAAAGCCAACCTTGCAGAGGGCATGTTCGAAGCCTGTTTGAAGGATAGTGCAGTCCAGCTGCAGATATTATTCATGAGGCAGGTAGTGGGGACGGCACGGCCATCCCACAGGCTGTTGTACGCGGAGCTGGCTGAACTCCCCTTACAATATTACATGGTGAAGCAGATCCTCCGTTTCGGGAACCGCCTTCAAAAGCAAGTGGGATCCATTGCTCATGCCGTTTTACGGCAGGAGATAACCGATGCCCTGACCAACCCGGAATGGGAGGGTTGGGGAATCTCAATGTTACGACTGTTTTCCTTCTTGGAGTGCAACATTTGGAGCGGAATACCGCAAGAAGTCGTGGGGGTAAAGGAGCGTGTTGACTGGTTGTTGAGTAGACCTCTACCCGAAGGAGCGATAATAACGGCACTAAGAGAGCGTTTGATGAGTGGCTGGGACCATACGCGTCTGACTGTCTTGCCAGAGGAGTACCCATCAGATGGGAAGCAACCGGGAGTGCAAATGGCGAAGTATAAGCACTGGATTGGGCTGCCCTTTTCGGGAGCCGCAGCCATCATGTGGCCAACACATGCTAAGGTTTTCATTCCTCGTTTAGCAAATCGTAAGCTAATGCAGTTTCGTTTATGTTGCTGGGCTTTGGAGGCAAACAGAGCACGAGGGGGCAAGTACCATGTCCCCAGGGGGCAGCGGTTTTGCCACTGTTGTGGTCCTAATAGCCGAATTGAGGATGAAAAACACGTGTTATTGGAATGCCCAGCCTATAATGATATTCGTGCTGAAGAGGGATTCGATCATCAACAGAGCATGTTGGAGGCCATGCAATGGGAACCCGCACGTCTGGCGAGGATGTTGGAACGTATGTGGGCTCACCGAAACTCAATTACCCCCTTTGGACGCTAGTCTGGGCTGATGTGCGGTGTTTTTCCTTTTCTCCGTGGCTTTTAGGCGTTGTAGTATTGCCCTTGGGCCTTCGGCTCGTATGGGTAGTCTTACAGGTATGGGGTCACGCACCCCCCAACCATGTAACACACACACACACAGATGCCCAGCCAGACGTGTACCCATCAGATGCCAAGCAACCAGGAATTCACATGGCGAAGTATAAGCATAGGATGGGTCTAGCGGCCGAACAAGCAGGCAGGAAGGAGGTACTCCTGCATATCACAACGTTTATCCCGCGTTCAACGAATCACAAGCTTATGGAGTTTAGGTGTTTTGCTGTTGGGCATTGTCGGCTAACAGAGCGCGTAAGGGACGGCGTTATATACCTAGGGAGGAGCGAGTATGTCCCTGCTGCGGCACTGATAGCCATATTGAAGATGAGTGTTGTAGTCTTCAGACGACACAACCACATAATGGGGGCATCGAAAGATACCGATTGAGACAAGTGTCTTGAATAAGTAGTCATCAGTGACTCCACTTGGGCCTCGCGCCGATAAGGATTCCCAGTACGACTGGGCGGCGCCGAATCCAGAAGCCATAGTTCGCAGGAACTACTCTCGCTCGGTCAGACGAAACTGGGACGCAGGTCCCAGCTTTACGTAAGTAAAACCCCCGCCCATACGTAGGTATGGACTTCCGCAGTGGTGCGGCATTAAGGTGGCGGACGACTAACAGTAGTCGCTTAGCCGCCGTCGCCCATACACTTCCGCAGCAGTGCGGCACTTGAATGGCGGACGACTAACAGTAGTCGTTTGATCCGCCGGCGCCTATGGACTTCCGCAACAGTGCGGCATTTGGATGGCGGACGACTAACAGTAGTCGCTTAGCCGCCGTCGCCCATGCACTTCCGCAACAGTGCGGCACTTGAATGGCGGACGACTAACAGTAGTCGTTTGATCCGCCGGCGCCCATGGACTTCCGCAACAGTGCGGCATTTAGATGGCGGACGACTAACAGTAGTCGCTTAGCCGCCGCAGCTAACAGTAGCGGCAATTAAACTAATATCAGTATTAGTTAATACCTGTAATCACCAACCGCGGAATTGACGGGAGTTAGTTAGTAATATTGGAGTTTGGTAAATCGGAGTGGACGAGCTAACCACCGACAGTTAGGATTCGGCGCCCAAACCGTTGCAGGAAAACCTTTACAGGATACAACAATGAGGAGCACATTTTGCTGGACTGTCCGGTGTACGACAAAATCAGATCTGATATGGATTTCCCACGCTGTGAAGTGGAAATCTGAACATATACCCCCCGTCCGCCAGGGGGGGTATATGAACCACGTATATGATCCCACTGCAACTCTATCGTTCCCTTTGGTCGTTAGTATCCTTTATGTTGTGGCATACTTGCATATTTATCTTGGGAATTTCCTAAGGCTCTGGCACTTCACCACTTGGCATTATCTTAACTCTTAATTGGCATGAGATAGAAGATAGGCCGCCGCCTCCGTGTTCTTCAGACGTTCTTATCGTTCTTAAGCATTCTCCTAAGTTTCTTAAACCCCCTCCGCGTTTGTAGGGTCTCATCCTGAATTGTATTAGTAGGAGGGACAGCAGTATTAAAGTTATTGAGCAAAGCAAATGTTTGACTTTTGGTGCTGTTCACGGATGACCAGCCCTATTTGCCTTTTACTAGGAGGAGGCGATTTCCATGAGTAGTATTTTGGAATTCTGTTTGCATGTTTTTGAAAGGTTTATAATTCCGTAATATTGCAGTGCATATTCTTGCAGTTCTATGACGCGGCCACAGCATGCCACATGTAGCAAATTTGGATTGCATTTGAGGTCTACATAATCCTGGGTAATGTTAAAATTATTTTGGTGCAACGGCCAACATCTTTTTATGACCACGGCTCGCACTTTGTGGATGAGCATGAAAACTTTGTGGATGAGCATGGAAACAAGATAATGAAGTTACAAAGGCACTGCAATTTCGCTCTGTGACCCGACCAACAGTATTTGCATGTGTGTGTGCGTGTGCAGCCGCATGCCAGAGCTTGAGTTCGACCTGCTCCTTACACCCATGACACCTCCCACACATGGGGAAACGTGACACAGCACTCAAAGCGAAGCAAGGAAGAACATAGTATTGTGTAACACAGCAAAGCCAAAGTTTTGGACGGCATTTGTACGGAGATGTTTTCTGGTCTGTTGCATCTACTGTGCAGAAGAATGCCTGCAAAATATGCTGCACATGTGGAGCACACAAGGCCACAACAAAATGGAAAGGGCAAAAGGCTTGAACCTGAATGCTAACTCATGGAGCAACACACAAATGGATAAGTAGCACTGTCCTGTCCCACATGGCATGCACTGTGTATCAAGGAGCAGTACAACATGGCATGCCCATGCACCGGGGCTGACCATTATTCCCATCTGGAATTGGACACACATGCTATCTCCTGCTTCAAACTTCACCCAACCCCTGGAAAACGTCTCCACAACTACATATGCCACGCCACTTCCCTGCAACATATCCACTCCTGAACATTGCTAGCTGTCAGTACTCCCAGGCCCCATGCCTCCCTTCCCCAGCTGCCTCAGCATGATCATCTTCCACCCACTCACCCTCTGCCTCCCCATCCACCTCCTCGTCCCCTTCCTCATCCTCACCCTTCTCCACCTCCTGCCCACCATTGCCATCAGGCCCAACAAGCTGCAGTGCTAACTCGGGTGCACCAGATCCCAGTAGGTGTGCATCAGGCATCTCCACCAGGCAGTCGTCTAGGCATGTTTCTGGGATGACTTGAGTCCCAGGACCCCTGGCAAAAGGCTGTGATGGCAGGGTGGACACCACCCTCAGAGCCTGATTGGCTGCAAAACGGAGGTGGAAGCTGTGACAGCAGCACACTAAGATGGTTGGTTTGAGTGGCTGCTGCTTGAGCAAGAGTTGCAAGCCTCTGCTCATCTGGAGAGCCTGCTGCTCCAGTGACATAACATAGCTCATGATAGCACACGAGCACCTCCTCTGCAGCTTTCTCAGCATTTGCTTGTGCTGTAGCGAGCTCTTTACTGTTGACAGCTGGCAAAAGCCGCTGAAGCTGCTGTGCTCCCAGAAGGTACCTCGCTGCCATGTGGGTCGCCCACCGGGATGTTTGTTCCGTCTACGCAGTTGGGTGCTAGCGAACTTCAGGAGAAGCTGGTAGCATTTGCTTTCCATATTGAGTGGCCATCCTAGTCGTCAGCTGTTGTTTGCTTTCCTGCCCAGTAGTTACAAGTTACAAGTGCCGCACGAGTGCGGGGGTGTCCGTCAAAGCCGGGAGGCCATGGACTATATGTATTGAAAGTTGATTACACCATACGACCGACGGCGGTTTGGGTCCTGCCAACTAGACCCCTCCTCATCCAGTCACCCAACATCCGTAGAGACAGATCAGCCACCACCACCATCTCAGCATGCGAAACTTAGTCCATCAACTAGACCTCATCTCCACACCTCAGCAGCGTTAGTAAACCTAGACCTCCCGAACAATGTCGGGGGTCTGACCAGGAATCGAACCCGGAACCTTCATATACACGAAGGCGCCACAAGACCAGACCAGTAGTGTTACATACACAATGCCATGTGTTTTGGTGAGGTGACACGCCTCACAAGTGTGCCCACCACCGCGGTCGTACTCATGTTGGCGCGGGATAATCAAAGGATGACGTGCTTTGTATCAAACGGGCATGTGTGGTGTGTAGGCAAGTTTCGTTGTTTGGCGTCATATGTTCTCATGGCTGAATTTGACATAACGTTTGGAGGGGCATGCAGATGTGTACAGGGATTCAACCCATTTGCGCGCCATGGGTAGCCAGGTTCGCTGCTTTGAACGGAGTTGGTGAGGTTGCGCGATGCGCGAGGTGTGACATTGCAAGCGCGGGTGCAGCAGTTGGGGTTGTATGTGGGCGCTAAGTTTCCTCCAGCGGTGCAACGGACTTTGCCTAATTCGACAGTTACCTGTATTTTCCTACATGTAAGAGCTCGGAATCATGCTTCTATGTCATCTCTGTACTTTGTAGTCAAGCATCACTATACGGCGGTGGTAAAACATTGACAAACAGCAGCCGGTCGTGGGGCAAATGACATCAATGAAATAAGCGTGTCACTAGCCAATTGGGCCACTCATTCGTGACTGCTACCCGCAGTGGTGTAATTGCGCTCACGCTCGTCGCGCAACTCACCCTGCTGGATGCCGCATTGCGGCTGGAACACGGCGACAGGTTCGGTTGCCCTTGCCGGTTACGCAGCGGCAGCCGTTGGCTGGATAGTACGAGGAGCGAGGTTCCGGGGCCGGCCAGATCCCAACCGCCCGGCTGACTATTTGTCACCGCGTTTGTTGTTGTTCCTATTGCTGATATTGCCGGCGGCATTGCCGCCATTATTGTTGTTGGTGCCACCTGAAGCCGCAGCCAGGCGATACCACAATTCGCAGCTCTTCTGCGTGCACGTGGAAAGAGCTTCGTTAGCTTCCATTACGTTGCCAAGGGCGGTGTGGTGCTCCTGCTCGTCGCAGAGCTGTCTTATGATTTCAAACAGTCGCGACGGCGGCGTGATGCCCTTACGCTGGGCACGCCTCATGCACTTGTCATATTTTGACTGGATTAAGTGTACGAACCTCTGCGCCATGGTGGGGCTCACCTGGCGTAACTGGTAGTGGTCCGGCGCCTGAACAGCGTCCGAAGACCGTGCGCGGAACGGGTTCCGTGCTGGGGCCGCCATGTAGTTTAGATTAAAAAGGTTGGTAAAGGGTAATGTGATGCGGAAGCGTTGGGAGTACTCGACTCCGAGGTCTTTTTGACCGGTTGATCCTCGATACCGTAGTGATAGGAAATGTTCGTGATTTTAATTTCGTGACGGCATCACGAGATTATGTCACATATAAATTACAAGCTGTTCCAGGCGATGGTCGTTACGAATACGTGTGCTCCGAAGCCAAATCGTACAATGCCTTCAACACAGTATTTACTCGTCGAATTCCACTTTTCTGGCCATATATACATCCATAGTAATTGAACGGACATGGATCCGAGGGCCAAGCGGCCTAAGCAACAAAGCCTCTTTCAATGCGGACTCTTCACACTTGCTCGCGGCGCCCCAGCTACGGATAGAGCTGGTTTTGCCGCTACTGCATTGTCAGCCGATGTGTGATGGTGTTTGCTGGTGAGCGGAATAACCGTGCATGCATTGGCCAGCTTTTGCGTCAATCGGCGTTCTGAGTCGGACCCATTAACGAACATTGCAGGCACCGTTGCTTCGGTTGCGTTGGCTTCTTACGAATTCAAAAGTTTCACCAATATTTTCGGGTGTAATATTGAGGGTGTCTTGAACAATAAAATCACGAACATTTCCTGTTACTACGGTACCAAAATTGAAAGAAAGCTCGGCAGTTGGCAAGGTAGCTGGTCCAACGATAATTGTGATTGATCCATACCGCTTAGTATTGGAAGTTCATAAATAGTTCTTAGGCGTAACGATGGTACGGATGACCGTTGGCCCGGTGAGCTAAGGGCTGCCTTAGCGGCGATGAACTACGCCGATGCAAGCGGTTGGCGCCAGCGAATGCATGAACTGTAAACAATGCTAAAACTAGCAGTCAGCTAAGTCAATCAGGTTTAGGAACATATTTATCTGGCGGTTTGCGGCCTGACTTGATCCACAAAGTCATGGTCGAGCCAGTTGGAAACAAATGCGGATGGCCATTTAGACTTGCAGCCGATAGTCTGTGTGCCTGGGAGCCTGGGAACCCAGTCTTCAACGGAACTCTGGTATGGCTTGGTTGGCCCGTCCGCCATTCGCTGCGTTGCACAGACAGGCTGGCAGGCTGAATGCAGTACAAGGGCGTAACCTGGTGAGGGGCGGTTGTGCCGTGTTGGGTCGTGGGGACGTGCGCATGCTCCCACACGGTGGCCTCTCTCCATCGCCATGATCGTTAACCCAGTACAACATTCATTGTGCCACTCAGAGCCGACAAAGGGATGGAACGACATGTTGAACGTGATGGCCGTTCTTTGCTGAATCCCTTTCACTATTGCCCAGTGCTTGTGGCCATTGCAACGACCTTACTGCATGATTCAATTGATTCAGTGCGTTGGTGTTATTTAAACAGGTTATTTTACCAGCCGCACGTCTTCAACAGTATGGGGATCTTGTCTCTTTTCCTTTCGATTGCTTTCTCCTTTTATGCTAGAAGCCTATTTATTATGTGCGTTACGAATCTGGGTTAGGTTCTTCTGGCGCGTTCATGGCTTGCCAAAGAATGCCAGCTAGAGCATTGATTATTAGCGTCTCATAAATCATTTACATACAGATGTTTTGGACCATCATTTCCATTACCGTCCGCTAGGCGTCCGCTGGAACGGTCAGGATGTACGGCGTTGCGGACAGAGGAGCGTCCGGGGGCGGGGCAGAACGGAAAGCGAACCCGTACAGTCAGTGAGTACGGTTTGTAATTTCTATACCGCGCCGCTACTGCTCCAAGGTAAATGTAGCTTTCTACACAGCTGTGCAGTGCAACGGCGGGCCCGTGGGGCTGGGCCCCCGGAGTGAAGCGCAATGGGGAGGGGGCCCCCAAGGATCATCCCTGTCTGCGCCTGTCTGCTGAATGTGGCATGATTACAGATGGATGTGCTTAGATGCATGAAGATTTGTGCGATACAGTTCATCTGTATGTCGGATAGGTTAATGCAAACTTTAGCCTCAATGCACGTTTATGCACGTTGGCGTCTAGGCGGGGCCTTACACTGCAAGATCCGGTTACCGGCCGCCTTCTGCGCCCAAACCCACATAGATTGGCGCTAAAATATCTTTTAGGCAAAACGAAAAACTCTCAAAACCTTTCGGACCTGAATCGTGTTCAAGGACCCTGCAACACACCACCAAAAAGCCATCACCCCATGGACCAGTCGGAGCCCTTGAAGCCTCGGCAGTGCACGGGGCCCTCATGAATTACCATGAGCGAGCAAGCCAGCCAAGGAAGTTGGGCCGAGAAAGTTGGGAAACGAAGGAGATGAACTAAAGGGGAACTGGGCCACTGAAGCCGAAGCCACTTTACACCAGGAGGATAAAGGTTGTGGGGGGTATGTCAAACCCCCAAGTACCCCTCCCACCACCCAATTATAGTCCAATACGCCGTACTGGTATCAGACTAACCCCCCGCACCACACACAAGACGGCCACTCACTCGCCGTACTGTTATGGGGCCCCACTATGTACAGCGGGCTCACATGCCGTAAATTTGACTGTGTATCCGAACCTGGATCCATACCGTGTTCCTGCTGTAGCTCGTTTTCAGCAGGGATAGTGACTACTACCCTGCCTGCATATCCACGTTGACAGGCGCGTCGTAAGCACAGCATCCTTCCCACCGTATTGCCGCGTACATACATACCTCAACTGCCTGGCATGTCAAATCAATCGACGGGACAGATCTCACTTCGCATTTCACACATACACGAACACATGCACGTGTCTGTATGTACATCTATCTACCATCTACCGCGATGCATGACACACACACACACACAAACGTATCCCCATTCCAAAACCAACCGGCAGAACTCACAGAGATAATAGATACGTACATTTTGCTGTCCTGTTTGACAATGTGCACGTGCACGTCTTTGCATACCCATGCACACAATAGCTGTGAGTACGTGGCCCGGGTGTGTTCCAGAGCCTCAATTGGTTGTCAAGAGATAGAATTGCCTTCGTGCATGTGTAGTAGCTGGCCCCGCCGAAAAGGCCCCTCGGGATGCTGGGAACGCACCCTAGCGCGTATATGTATCAAGGGTGTGAGTCGTACTGTACGACAGCTAGCTACTACAACATGCAATAAAGGATCATTCACTACACACATTGCTACATGAATAAGCCTGAACATCTTGCAGTGGACCAAATGCTGTCAATTTCTACTACTACTACTGCTGCTACTCGCGAACCATGCAAACAAGCGAAGGCAAACAAGGGAATGCCCCGACCGCCCAACCAGTGACGACACCTCAAAGTAAGGGAGATATATATACAGACGCATGCTGCTGTCGTTTGTTAGATCCGAGCTCACGGCCAACACATCTGCCGGCCACCGATGCTCCCTTAGCGCATCCTGATGCTCCTGGGCACCCAGCAACAGTACCAGCACCCTTTCCATCCTACCATACCTGCCTTGCTTATGCTCCCTCAGTGCTCCAGGTATAGAACCCTGGTTGCACCTTGGATAGGTGACGCAACTCCAGGGGGTGTAACACATACGTATACACATACACATACGTACACACATACACATACGTACATACATACATACACATGCAAGTGAGTGACATCGGAACACTGGACAGAGAGAATGAGCGGTAGGTGGTACCTACCGCTCCGAGCAACCCCTCCCCAACAGGCATGACCATCCGCACGGGTGAAGTCAATTACATGTACGAGTATGCTGTTAGTGCGGTGCTCCTAGCTGCCCTACACCGCATTGGGCTCATTGGTGTCATCATGTGCAAGTGCACACCTCCAGGAGGCGCATCCAGCCAAAATGCACACTGACGACATGTACAACCGACGCCACGCATCGAGCCGTTCATCTACAATGCCACGATGAGGACGCCGCCGCCCAGCCAGACGGCCAGCACCGCCACGACTGCTTGAAGCAGGGCCGTCAGCCGCCCCATTCGCAGTGCCGAGGAAGAGCCGTCCGCCGGGGGTGGCGGCCCACCGGCCTTGGGTGGGGGAGGACTCGCCCGGGGTGGGGTCCCACTCCCCCCAGCACCTGCGGGCGGTGTCCCCAGTAGCCCCGCAGGTGGCGCAGTGCCAGCCGCCGGTGGAGGGGATGGTGGGCTGCTCGCCTCTGGTGGCAAGTACCACGAGGGGACAACCACGCTGAATGCACCCAGCTGGGAGGTATTGTACGTGAAGAGGCTGCCGCCGGCTGCGCAGGCCGTGGCGTTGGTAGAGCTGTAGCCTGAGCACGCAAGCGAGATCTTGTATAGATCTGCTATCCAGGGGTCGGCTGCATACTCGCTGGTGAGGAAATCACCGAGCGATGGCAGTGCGTAGGGTGTGCAAACGCCCGTCGTTAGGTTCCAGCTGCAGTAGATCCCGTTGGCGTTGAGAGCCTGGCATTTGGCCTTCGTAGTCACATTATTGGTGCACGCGGCGGCCATGGAGGTGAGCTTCTGGCCCGCAGGGCAGCTGCCTGTGAGAGTCTGACCTGCCGTGCCCACTAATGCGATGGGGCCTTGATAGGCTGGTCCAGAGATGAACGCGGCCTGCAAACGTACGTACCGCAGGCATTGACCAGGTGAACAACAAGGCTTATGCTCGTGCGGGGTGGGTTTGGAGGAGGATGGGTACTGGCTACTCGGCCCACGCCGCACACGTATATGCTAAATATATGCTATGCCTTTCCATCCAGCGATGCCTCTTGTTTAAGGAGTGGCGGCGAAGATGCAGCAAATACGTGGTCCTCAGATACGTACGAGGATATGCCAGTTTAGTAGTGCGATGTCGCCATGCATCGCATGCGTGGGAAGGGGATGATGATGTTCGGGTAAACAAGGCGTCAGAGGTCTGATGAGCATGTATGTATGTATGTATGTATGTATGTATGTATGTATGTATGTATGTATGTATGTACATCCTCACACGTGCTTGAACGAACGCAGAGCAGACGGCAGGCCAAGCAGCTGGGAGCGATGGGAATGCGGGTCTGCTGGTGCTCATATTAATCGCCCCAGCAGGCCAGCACGCAGGTTTCGAAAGGAACGCACGGTGTAAAGAGAGAAAGGCTTTGCGCCGCTTACTTTAAGGAGCAGTATACGTGTGTCACGCCAAAACATCTGGAGCGCACAGATTATGTGCGTCCCGTCCGTGTCAGCTTGTGTGTTCGTATGCTTGTATGTTTGTGCGTGTGTGCGGCCACGCATATACGCATTGTGTTGCCGCCCCCACACAAACACACAGGCTGACACTCACGCACATATAGACACATACATATAATACAATATTCACATGCATACCCACCGCACCATCTCTGCTTGTATATACCTACCCTTTGCCAGTCGGTGTAGGTGTTGTACAACGACATCAGGAAGGTTTGATTGATGGTCCACCTGGAGTGAAGTACGACGAACGTACAGCGGCAGCAGGTTGGGGTTGGAGGGGGAAATGGAGCGGGGGTACAATCACGTCCATGTACGGTAGAGCAACAGCTCATGCGTGTGTTGTAACTATCGCACAGTACGTTGCACATTCCAGCACTATAGTACATGTGGTTTAAGCGCTCTGCCAGCATTTCCGGAAGGCTTTTTCGATGGCTAGCGCCTACATTTGGTACCGACAAGTTGAGACAAAGTGTGTAAGCCTAACACCATGGATTGGTTCAACCCTGGCGGACTGCATAGCAGTTGCCTATGTAGGACGACGACCGGGCCGCCTTGACGGTCTTTGGCCCTTTAAGTGTCAGGATATAGACTGCAGCAAATGGTGCTGACAGAGGACTAACTCTGTGCCGATTAACCCGCTATAGGGCCAGCAGCGATGATGCCCCTCCGCAGGGAGGTGCATGACGCCATGCGGACTTGCCAGCCCTTGCCGGGGTTCGAGAAGGCGCAGGCGCAGGCTGGTGTGGACGCATGTAATAATAGCCTGTGGTGGATCCCTACTAGGGAAGCGGAGTGCATGTAGTAGCTGTCATTCATACAGTACGGTGCATAGCCCTTACGCGCTCTGTAACACGCGCTGCCAGAGAGGCGTTTCAATTCCGGCGAGCGCATACCCTTTCCTTTAAAGTGCTTCCCCTCAACCACTTCCGCGCACACACACCTACACCTCGAGTTATTGTTGACTTTTGGGGCCGCATTCAGGGTTTCGCAGCTTTGGGAATTCCACGGAAAGGTTGGGATTCCGTTGGCGCACATCACCCCTTCTTGAGAATTATATCTGGCAAATTGCTGTGCTCGCTAGAGCGGTTACCGATGAGAGGTTAATTATCTGAGGTGATAATCTTTTGGTATATTAGTCTCTACTGCAGTGCACGGCCAGCTGGCCCGATGGCTCTACTCTTCGGGAGTCTGGAGCCCACTGTAACAACCACACCACATACACCTTCCTCCCTCGCTTCTGCCTCCCTCCCTCTTCCGCCCCCAGCCCGCCCCTCTCCCTCCTTCCTCCTCTTCCCACCTTGCAGCGCAGTACTTGAACGGCATAATGCCGCCGGAGTTGGTGTCGTAGTTGTCCGTAAGGTCTTCGTCATGGGGCCCCTTGAGCCAGCCAAGGTTTATCATTGCAGCATCAATTGCATTCATCATGACCGTAGACGCATTCAGTTGCCTGTAGTCACTCCACACTGCCAGGTACCGGTTCGTCCAGGTGCAAGCTGTGTTAGAGCTGCAGCTCGTCTCGCTGGAAGTTTCCAGACAAGTTATGGCTTGATCAAGCAACGAGCCAGGGCAGTAGACGAAGTTCCGAAGCAACTGCCGAGCGAGACAGCGTGCGAACGAGGTCCAAAGAGCAACAGAAGGAAACGCTTGAATCATATCGTCATATCGGTGTTAGCACAATAAGGCAGGTGTTAGCAGCTAAGGAGAACAACTACGATGGCGGGCGCATTGGGGTGGCGAGGGGAATATACTTAATCAGGAAGTCAAGTGACTAAGAGTGAATAGCACCCGGCCCCTTTGTAAATGCAAACTTTCAACCAACAGCTTGGTTGCTTCGCCAACTACATTCACACTACATATGCACTCGATGTCTACTCCTGGTAGTCTTGCTTACGCTGGCATGAAATATGCCCCCCGAGTTGTACGGGCAGCCGAGCGCTGTAACAGCTCCAGCAGTATCTTCGGAATAGCATTGATCTGCTATGCTACGCGCCAGCAGTCTGCGTGAAGTGGATGGGGGATGGGGGGACGGATGAGGGCATATGAAATGCGGCGAGAACGAATGATGCATAGACGGGATACGTAAAGCGGGGATCGGCAGTATTAGCCGCAGCGAGTAGCTAGCACCTAGCAAAGGGTAAATGGCCCAGGTAGCAAGTCAGTTCAAATTGTTTAAAGGCCCAACATAAAAAAATTACGTAGATGTGAGTCCCTGGCAAGTATAGCCCGAAATCGAGCTGCAGCTGCTTCCAGCTACGTCTATGTATCTTACCGCACTGGCCAGGTGTACCTGGCTCATGTGCTATTTAAAGTAGGAGATATGCCCATAAAACTACACGATTTTATCTCTGAACCATAAAAGATGAGGGAACTATCCTTCGCCTAAAGGTCGAGGCAAAGGGACCCCATGCGGTGGCGACAACTAAGCAAGCATCAAGCTGCTGCACGTTGCATACATAATGGATGTGCGGAAATCATCTTGCCAAGATCATAATGCGTAGACCGGCCCACGCAAAGGAGCCCTGGCTCATCAGACTTACTTCTGAATGTCCGTCGCTGGGCGCTGGTTTAGGCTGGCGAAATAGCGAAGGTCGACTGTGCATTCATACTTGCCTAAAATGCAGGTTCGGTTTTGCTTGGCAGTGTCAACAAGGGATCGCCGAGGGTTTGAGCCCACTGAATCCTCAGAATGGCCTGCTGCTGCCGCCGACAAAGCTGTCTCAATGTCGTTTCCTCCCGTGCCGCCCATAAATCCGCCATAATGTTGGTAAGATGAATGCATTTCTGCACCTGCTGGTAGCAGCAGAAGCAGGACCGTAATACAAAGCACAGCCATTAATTGTAAGCTTTGAGCAGATGACATTTTTTTTCTCTTCTGCCACGACATTTACGATGTGTAAAATTAATTATTGCCAATTGCAGATTGAGGTGGTTGCTGCTTGTGGGTTTGTACGGTGCACTGACTAACGTAGGTGCAGACAGAAATGCCTGGCCTTGGTGTTTGGGGAGGCCAGAAGACTTACTTTGACACTACATGTTATAACACGTAAGCTTATCAACGAGTTGTGATCGGACGAGTTTCTTTTCACAATAATGTCGTGTACTAGATCCCTTTGGATTGTGTTGAATCGTAACGCATTCAGCTCAACCCACGCTTGTCAAAGAGGGAGAAGAACAGCAAGATCTAAAATGAAACACCTTACTTCCTAGAAGGGCGACAGAAAGGCATTCACGTGGGCATGAAGGTACCAACACCGCAATGTCACCGAGGTATTCGTTCACATATGTTTCGTTTTCCATACCTGAAATGCATACAGGAAAGCAGCAAGCAACTCCGATGCTACTCCATGTGTGTGCAAGACCTGTGGTCGCCTTTCAAAGCCTGACGATGAATTCCTCACTCGCCCTTTTTCGCCGGGGTATTCCCTTGGGGTCTGGGGCTCGCTGTAATACCTACTACTACTACTATCACCTGGCAAAAGGGTTTTAAGTGTAGTGTCGCATATGCGTGCTAGCTTACGTAGCCATGGAATGTTTTAAATCTGGGCAGGGTTCTCCGTACAAATGCATGGGACGACACACGGCCTCGCTCCGCAGGCAGGAGGTGGAAAATGCAGGACATACGCAACACGGCACGGGTGTAGCGTACCCAGTTACCCACGCACGCACGCATCATCTGCATGTGTGTATGTCGTACCCCGATGAGCAATAAATATAGCTTTGTCCTGTTTGCAGGGAGAAGCAGTCCCTTGAAGAGTCCGCCCGCAGTCAGCCCGTAGACACCCCGTTAGTGAGGGGTAGTTGGTTTGAGGCTTAGGAGTGCCTCTGGGTTTAAGCGTTCAAGCGTTTCAAGCGTTCAAGCGTTCTTTTTGAGGTTTAAAAATTGCCGTCCCGCTGCCTAAGGCCGCGGGCGGGGCTCATATCATGAAGGACACGAGGGCCGCCGTACATTCTTGCGTGGATAGTTGTGCGTTGGTTTAGTTGAATTGAATTGAATTGAATTGAACTGTTACAGGGTGGGAGGCTTCTGGGCCATTCGAACACATTGTCATTACTACGATGTATCATACCATACCGCACCATCCACCATTACCACCACTGTACTACGCCATATGAACTGCAAGTCCAAGGCGGTTGATCCTGCCTTCTAGGATCCCTCCTCAACCGTCCACCCGGACATCCGCAGAGACAGAGGGTTCAACTATCGCCACCAATCCAGCGTGCGAATCACGATTTATCAACTGTGACCTCAACTCCACACCCCAGCAACTAGCCATTCCCGATGGGATAACCTCAGGAATCGAACATAGGACCTTGAACTGTATAAGACAGTACTATCGACCAGACCAGACCAGGTTTAGTGTTTACTTGCTCCCAACATGTGTATGGGTATCTGTGTGTGTTACATCTTGGAGTCCATTACTCTTCGCAGGTGTAACGCATGGGCTCGTATGAACCCTGATGGGACCCAAGGGCTCCGGTTGCTTTCTCAAACGGCAACCCTATCCGGTGCTTGTTTTCAGCCATCTTAATGCTAATTTGGTTGCTTCCCATCCGTGGGGAAATCGTGTGGTACTTCGGGCAGCCTCTCGTGGTTCCATGACGACGTGAACTGGTGTACATATTACGGCACACATATCGTCTATAACTACGCGCTACAGGGCTACCCTACCATCCAGAGAGATTTTTTCAGCAGCCAGCTTTTACAGAGGACAATAGAAGGACATAGGCATTTATATGCAAGGTCCCACCAAGTCCTATGCCTCGGTAATTGCCCATGACAGAGCTCTCATCCCTTGTTTGAACACGGGGTGTTAATAACCTGGTGGCGATGAACTGCTCGGGGAAGTCACCCGTTGCCCTGATGTGCTCCAAAAGGGTGTGCGTGTAGGATGATAGGCACTAGCTGGTTTATTTCTGTCCTATCCTCTGCAGCATCGGTGCTCAACACGAACCAACACCCCAACGGTAGAGAGCGATGCCGTACGACAGGCACACGTCATCCGGCATGCCTCTCCACCAATAACTCGTGAGCAAAAGCCAAATGGTGCTCCGTACTCAAAAGTTCCCAGTTTCGTCTTGCGCTTGCTTGATGATCTCCATCCTCTCAGGCACGTTCCGGGAAGGCAATGTGGACAGGCAGGGCCCTCTCAGTCGCTTGGAGGGCTCCCGACCCACAGCGTTGAGCAGTAGGCCGCCCGTGGTAAGGGGGTTGGTTAGTTAGTAGTTCGTTTCTGAAGCGCCAAAAACGCTGCCGTGTGTGGCCCCTATGGTGAGTGTTTTGGAAGGGCGCTGGACTGGCAGACCGTTAATCCCGTTTCGGCTTTTGGAAAGCATCATAGTCGTTGGTTTCGTAATACTATTTAGATCACCTTCCTTCATCAGTCCCAGTACGTCATTCTGGACTTTGGGATAGATTTGCGAAAAAAATAAAAATCTTGCAACCGAAAATCTTGCAACAATACCGAAGTCCCCATCCGTATCAGGATATATCCAAACAAAATTAGTAGAACGGCAATGCATGAGCACTTGTAGTGCCACAGTTAGCTGTGCCACAACCTGAAGTCGGGAGTTTGCATCTTGTACGGCTGCTGTAAGCAAACTTGGGCAGTCATAAAATCCGAGAAATCTAACTCAAGTACTTTGGCTCTGTCGAAACTGTTCCTTTCAGGAAAGCCAGCCCCAGCAAATTTATGCGCTTATTACAAGCATCAAGGTAGCAAAATGCACGCTTCAGTCCCAAAGTTGTGTGAAAGGCGTGTTTCCTACAACAAAGCGCACGGGCTATGTCGGCCTTCAAGATCCACTTGCCGGGCAAAGTGCGCCCTCGGCATCCCGGCCCTGGCGGAAGCCCTTGACCGCCGAGCGGTCCTTCTTGGGGCATTGGCCATCTATGGTGGAGCCTTTGTCGCCCCTTCTCAGGCGGGAGTGCTAGATGGTAAGATATTTTCGGGTGGCAGGAACCGGTAGTGTCCCGTACATCCCCGTCGAGTCAACGGAGCATGGGCTTAAAGCGCCCTCGCATGACTCCTCTGCCCTATCAGCGCGCTGCCATCGCAAACATGTTGCAGCTTGCAAACGAGCGTGACAGATTTTCACAGTGAAGATTTTTACCCGCAGGCACCGTGGCGTGGTGGAAGGGCCGGCAGCGGGCCAACAGCGCTAAACTGATCGCCCCCATCAAGGTGCGTGACGCATCTTCCATACTGCTCACGACAGGATTAGACTGGTAATATCAGACAGATAACACCATTTTAAACGATTTGTTCCATCAGGGTTTATTTAGCGACGCGGTCCCTTCGTCCTCCCTGCGACTAGAAGAAAGTGCTATGCTCCCGTCAAACCCATCACGTTGGTCGAATTGCTGTTTGTTTGCGCTTTGACCAACGTAATGGTTGCTTTACTCTAATCCTTACACAGGTAGCACAGCAGCGGCTTGAGGCTGCATCCGCAATGCTGGCCGACGGCAGCGGCAGGTGCGGGCTTGCAGTCGTCCCGTCCCGGTGCTGCTCCCGGCCGGGACCACTTTTGGGCCCATCAATCCGGGGGCCCATCATGCCATACATGGAATATGTATTAAGACGTTGGTTCCAGGTTCCATGCAACACCTCTGTCCTTGTGAGTCCCAGGCAGTACACGGAGCTCCTGTGCTGTACAGCAGTACACTGAGGCGGTAGACAACCCCGTCCCAGCCGCGACGGGTGTGCAATCCCCCAAGGCGCGTGTAGCCTCATCCCGCTCACCCTCCCAACACCCAAACAGCGTCCAGCATCTCCCCTCCGCAATCGCATCCTCTGTTTCCATCATCGTTGCTCCATGTTGCGCCCTCCCCGACAAGCCCTTTCCCCTCCCGGACATCTCCCTTGTGATCTCCCCTGCCCCCCGTGTGTGTGTACTGCGCCCCTGCTCCCTACTACTCGGCTCTTGCCAGCATGTTGGAGGTGCTGCAGCTGGTGCGCGCCTCCTCCCTGAACTGCTACGTGTTTGAGGCGCTGCCCACGGACACCCTGGAGACCGTAGCTAGTTTGATGGCCCAGAGCTCCAAGATCAGCGACCCCTGCACCTTCCGAATCATCGTCAAGAACGTCGTAGGTGAGAGCGCCGGGTGGCGAACTGGTGACGGATGGCGGCGGCCGGGCGGGTCATGCGTGAGGTAGACGGAAGGGGGGGAGGAGGTGTGGAGGGGGGGAGGAGGGCGTGACGGGGGACCTGCGTGTCGATGATGAACTTCCCAATAGAGAAACTGCCCGGCGGTGCTGTCCTTGTTGTTGTAGGTCGCCATAGGCGGTCCCTGTTGCCCTAGGCAGGGGACACATAGCGGGCCAGATGGGGTGGGGTGGGGGGCCCAGCGTCATGCAGGGACGGGGCATTGGGGGGCAGGCGGTAAGGGTATCAAGGAGGCCGAACAGGGAGCGTGAGGGGGCCGGTGTGAGGGGGGGAAGACAGCAGCAACAGCAGTGATGGGCGGTGCCCAGTGGGACGCAGGTGTGTCAGAGTGCGGTCCGGGCTTGCAAGCGAAGTGCAGGGAAGAGGCACCCGGGGGCGGTCCTCCGCGATCCCTCAGCTAGTGCTTCCGCGCCTGTCATCCAGTGCTTAAGTCTCGTCCTATCCCGCGCCTCGTTCTATCCCCATGCCGGGCCCCCTGGGGGCTGTAATCTTGACTTGGACAGATTTCGCTTCTGAGGATGATAAGGAGCGCGGCGCGCAGCTGCTCAACAGCCTGATTTTGTCGTACCAAAAGTTGGATTCGGAGCTGGAAGCGGCAGCGCTGGAAAGTGGCGGCGCTGCAGACCCGGCAGTGACAGGGAAGGCAGCGCAGCAGCTGGCGGCGACCCTCCAACTTGCTTATGGCATGGAGGGTTTTGTGAAGGAGGTGCTCCAGGTCGCGTGAAAGAGACGAGGCGCGCGGCAGGAGGGAGGACGGAATGGCTGTACGGGCGACGCGGTAACGACGCGGTAACGACGCCGTTCATGTATGTGAGGAGAAAACCAGGAATTAGTAGGTAGAGTAGTGACGTGATTTTAAGCGAAATCAGTCGGCGAATGTTTTATTTATGTATGACCTTGCTTATCGATATAAATAAGTTCACGAAGTCCGATTATGATAGGCGTTTTGTGCTTGCCTGTCTGGCTGTTTGTACGGCGCGGCAGCCTCCCAATCCGGTGAGCCCTCATCACAAACCCGTTTTGAAGTCGATGGGAACCGTAGTCGTTAGCTGTTGTCGGGCTTAGTTGAAGGGGCTAAGTAGCTCGCATTCTTATGGTGCCTGGAAAGCATGTTCCCCCTGGATTGGTGATGTGAACTAACCTGTGGCTGAGGATCTGGCGCGCAGCAGCTGAGTTTTGGGTGTTCCGGTTTTCCGACGTTGATTGTGAAGAGATAGGAGTAGAGGAAGGTGGGGAAGCTATATGGGTTTCGACGTTACGAGTTTGCGTAAGGCTTGCAGCAGTTTCATGCACGCGGGGGATTTTTTTCCGTTTGGCCTGTATGAAGTCGATTCGTTTATAAAGGCCTTGCACACAAAGCGTTGCACACAAGGCACAACTGATTGATGTAAGCGTTAGATTGTTGCAACCGAATGTAACTGTCGTGTTTAACCGATAAAATGAACCTCACACCTCGGCGACATGCGCAATGCGCAAGTTCTACGGCAAGTAGTTGCACCGGTAGCGTGTAATCTGGCTTAAAGGCTGCCATTAGTCTTTGTCTCACCTCTACGATGCAACATGAGGGGTCAGCGCAGCTTGCCAAACTGTGAAGAACGCGGCGTTCTGACGAAAGCAGGTTGCAAACCGAGCAATTTTGAAGTTATTAATGTTCATAGAGGGAGATGCGCATTCACCGTCTTTAGGACTTCTGGCATCGGTGTGGTGCATAGCTTGAAGCGTGTCGACGCCTCCACAGTTTCGACCATGTAAGGAATCAAGCAAGTTGCATTACGATAATCAGCTCCAGGTTGAAAGACTCAGGTAGCATCCATCGTGCAGGGCAAATGTGGGCCCAGTGGTTCAATCACAGGTTGCAGAGAGCAGTTTCGGTCCTGACAGCGTGTGGTACTTTGCATATGGAAGCAACATGAATCCAAAAACTCTTACAGGCCGTCGAAAGGTAAACGTTCTGCCCCTGCGCGTCTGCATGACCCTTGCACGACCATCTTGGTTCAACCTCCCGCTGCCCTCATATGCTGGCATGTGATGCATCGTGGATTAAAATGCACAAGCTAACATTCGGGGGGTTTGCATTCTTGCCCTTGGCACCTTTCCCTACCTGCCGTGGCTCGTGGCAAAACGCCAACTTCCACATCCTTTCCCCCCATCTGGTGCTTTCCCCCTCTGGTACTGCCGACTTACATTTATCGAATGCCCCTGCTTAGGTTGTTCCCCTGGAGTCAAGGCCTGCCGTCTTGCGTGGCTGGAAGCTCAGCTTCCGGTGCGTGAACCCGTGAACCCGCGAGCTGGAGAGGTTGTTGGTAGTCTTTGGGCCCATTCCCTGCGTAACCATCTTAACTTGGCGCTACCGACTTGTCTGTTGATGGGTAAAAGCCGTGGGCCGCCGTCCCGCCAGTGGCCAGGCAGGATGATGATATCTCCGTTTCCCAATTGCTAACTATCGGATTTTCAGATTCCAATACACCAGACTTGTGGTACTGCTGCACGGCTCATTTCGCTGCATGCCGCTCAGCCATTTCAGAAACCCGAAACGTTTCGTTCCTTAGCCGCCATCTACTGTGCAATCCCATACGCTGATCATGCTACGAACGGTTTTGCCGTACCCTTCCCATGAACTCTATCCCTCTTCACCCGCACTCTAGGATGTTGGGTTTGCCGTACATTGAACCCGGCTTTGCCACGATCGAGCATGTCAACAACACGCTATCGCGCTTGCCGTCACCATCAACTGCGGTATCAGCCTCATCAGCTACGGCTACAACGGCTTTCAGTAATGACAGCAATTTCAACAACAAGAGCAGCAACAGAATCTCTGAGCGCTGGAGTTCTGAGCTACACGGTGTGCTCCACCGGGTCTCAACGGCTGACTGGGTCCAGATCATGGCCACGGAGGGTGTGGGTGCGGGCAAGTCCGGGTGAGCACGGAGCAGGCCAGGATGAGACTGAGACTGGGCTCGCTGGATGCGGTGGCCATCCCCGATTGGGTCATCTGCAGTGAGAGACGAGAGACAAGTTCCTGTCCTGACGCGTGTCCCGGGACATGGGAGATGTTAGGGGGGGGAGACAGTGGCTTGGGACGGGGGGAAACCCGCTTCGTTCCCCTTTAGGGGATTCATCCCTAATCGCGTGGCAGTGCATCTTCCAGTGTTTAGCTCTGGCTGTGCTGGCCAACTTTCACTGTCAACACGAACCGCCGCCGTGCCGACGTGACGTGACGTGCGCCGGCGTGTACCGCATCGGCAGGTATCGCGTGGTGGAGGTGGAGGTAACGCTGTACGACGGTCGCCGCATCCGGGCCCTGACACTGGAGGGCCAGCCGCCGTCTCTTCACCCCCCCACGCGTTCCGTCTCACCCTCCCGCCGCTACCTGGGCCTACTGGGGGACGGTGAGCGGGCGGGTGCAGGTCTAGCTAGGTGGACCTGCGGAACTGATCTGGGTTGGGTTAGGATGGGATGGGATGGGATTATCGGTGTCAAGGCTGCATTGAAATCTCCGTAGGACTCTTGGCTCTTTTTGTTGCGCCGCATATCATGCCTCGTATCTTTCCGCAGGCGCCCGTCACCATGGGCTCAACCCCGAGTACATCACATACCTGGATTCTCTCCAGTCGTACGAGGCCAACGGATGGAACAACGCCACGGGTCGGGCCGTCGTACTCGCTGCGGCGGTGCCGCTAGCGCTTCCGCTGCTGCCGGCCGTCGTCCTCTTGCGCTTGACCGCCAGGAAGAGCAAGGCCAGGGAAGAGAGACAGGCAGTCGGGAGTAACGGCGTCGGCGTCAAGGCGGGCGCCACCGCTGCGGATTGCAGCACAGTTGCGGAGTGTGTGGAAGCAGCTGCGAAAGGGGCGGCGGTGGCGACCAAAGAAGATCCAATCGACATGCTCGGCAGCGGCGCCGCCAAGACGACGGCCGTACAGATGCCACTGCAGTCGTCGTCGCCGCCGTCAGTGTCCGTAACAGCTACCATGGCGACGACGCAGGGTTCGGTGCCCGCCACCGTCGACAGCGGCGGCATCCCGCCGCAGCTCCTGCGGCCGCCGATGGCGCTGCCGGAGCTATTGAGCGGATATTTGCGCGCTGTGCAGTACACCACGTGGGTTGTACATGACGTACTGGCAGCGACACTGCTGGGCAGCGACAGCAGGGCTGCCGACGCCAAGCAGCAGCGCCAAGGCTGAGGCGGCTGGTGCCCATGGAGTCGGATGATGTCATGGAACTACATGTCGAGTGATATATATATTGCCAGGGAGCTGTTGTTATATGATGAAATGATATGACACAACTAAGGACAGCCGTACTCCCGCAGTACAGTTGGTTATTCATTTGAGACTAGCTCAAGGGCGCCGAGGGTGTTATGGCTGTGGTGCTTGGAACAAACACGGGCATGTATTATCATTTCTGCTAAACGATTGGCATGGTCGCGACGTACCTGAGGCCAAGTAGAAGCAGCGGTTACATCTGCTGGTGCTCGCCATGGCATGAGGGCTATGTTTAGTGATAGGTAGTTCATCGGCTTGCCAGCACGAACAAGAGGCACCTTACTCGAGAAGCCATCTGGGCTGTTTTCCCTTCAAATCAGCCACAGCTGTCATATACAGACCCGAAGATCGCTCATGTGAGCCATATGCGGCTGCGTCGGTGGTGCGCGGCTTTAGTGCATGTCACCTTTTCGGTCTCATTTTTTCAGGCTCTCGCCTTTAGGCGGGCCGGCGTTGCCTGCTTTGTGTGTTGGGGAGTTACATCTCCCGGCTACATGTGTCATGAGACTAGGAGGGCGTATGTCACTTGGGGTTCATCGGCCCCCTCGGGGCAGATAAGGCCGTGTCAGGGGAAGCTGTGCGTGGCTATGCTGGAGATGCTAGCGGTGCGCTGCAGAGCCGGAGTGCTTGCTTGCAGTTGGGGGGCAGCCTGCGTACTCGGCTCGCCGCGCACCCTTGTCGGTGTTGGATTTGTGATGGATTCATCCTAGAAAGGAGCGCGAAGGTTACCTGAAAGCGGGCAGGTGTTGTCAAAGGGAATGTCAAAGGCAGTGTGGTTGGCTGCGATGAAAATGGCTCTCCACTGGCAGCTTCTTTATATGTGTGGCGTCAGTTGGGGGATGTAGCTCCTTTCCTTAGGATACTGAATGCGGAAATCAAATGGTTTTGCTTCTACTGTCCGGGGCGGTCTCGTTATTAGGGTGCCTTGTGGCGTTGGGTTTCCGCAGGCAGAGGGCTTTGCCTCAGCACACGGGAAGGAGACGTACCGGACCGGTTCCTGCGGATTGGAGTAGGTGATAGGAACAGCCTGGTCTCTGTTTGGTGGGTGCTGGGAAACCTGGGATTGACAAAGGAAATCAGGTTCCGCAATGCGTGCGTACATTGGTTATTCTGGCCCGTAAGACGTGTCACCCGCTCCTTTCTACCGAGCAAGAGGATGTGAATTGGGGTTGGAGGGAGGTCGCATAGCTTGGTGTACGTACGTGGCATGACACGTACCATAAATTCAACACAGCGTTCGCCTTTTTCTAAGGTATGGGGGATCACAGGATGGTGCGTCCTTGTGCGTCTTCGGTCCAAGATGTGGCCCTTCGTGTCAAGGGCACTTAACGACGCCTCTGCGCTGCTGGTAATTAGCCAAAGCACTCCGGGGTGATTCAAATGTGGTGTAATAATCATCCTGTATTGGCTTAAATCATGAAGGGGACTTGACGTAACGCAGTGTCCCGCCGGGTCGCACCTTTTTTTTTAACCAGAAAATAAACGCCGGTGCAATGCCATCAGCAATATGTACATGTACTTTAACAATGCGTATCACTTTATTTCAACAATGCCAGGCCTTTTTCTGGAACCGCGGCCTCATGACATTGTAAGTTAGGGTTCCGGATACGAAGTTAACTCCATTCTTCGGAGACTAATTTACTTTCGCCTTTTAGACATATGTTAGATTGTTTCTATAGGAGCGATTTAGGTCTGCGTCCTGCTGTTAACAGTCTATAGGGCGAACGAGGGCAAAGCAAAAGGGACTCGGACAAGATGTTAAAGCTCTTCTCTGTCAAGGTTAGTAGGTGGTTTGTGTGTCTTGATGTTCCTTAAACGTCGTGCTGAGGCTGCGCTGCGGATACCATCCCAGGACAAGCAAAAGCAGCAGCAAGAAGCAAATGCTGGAGCAGGGAAGCCGGGGAAGCTTTCAGCAGGAGAGCTTCGGATCCAAAAAGGTGAGACAAGCGCTGGCTAGCGGAAGATTAGAGCAGCGCGTCTAATGGTTGGCCCCCGCAGACATGGCCGAGTTGAATCTCCCGCCCAACATCACCATTAGTTTTCCAGATGGAAAGGACAAACTTATGCATTTCTTTATTGCTATCCGCCCGGACGAGGGGATATACAGGTGGGTAAGAATGTCGGGCCTGGATCTCGATTGCCCTCAGGCAGTGGCCTGAATGAGCTCGTTAATGTGAGTTTTCGTCCTCAGGGGAGGCAAATTCAACTTCGAGTTCAATATCCCAACGGGGTACCCCCACGATGCGCCAAAGGTGCTGTGCACGACGAAGGTAGGCCATATTGGTGCACGTCCCGGTCCTCACTCGGCCTTTTCACCCACATGGGGCTCGTCGATGTGGGTGTGCCATCTGGCACTAGTGGGGCTACAAGACGGGCCCGTACCAGTCCGTGGTGGGCCTCGTGTCACGGCACGGGGTAATATGTTCTGGCAGTAAGTACACAACGGCTCCAGGTGAAGCACCAACGTTGGCAACACATGCTGCAGGTTTACCACCCCAACATTGACCTCGAAGGCAAGATTTGCCTTAACATTCTGCGCGAGGACTGGAAGCCCGTGCTGTCCATTAGCAGCGTTATCTACGGGCTGCAGTTCCTTTTCTTGGATCCCAACCCGGATGACCCTCTCAACAAGGAAGCGGCTCAGATGTTCGTTGATAACCCACGCCAGTTTGAGCAGTACGTTCAGCGGGCAATCCACTACGGCACCTACATCAAGTAAGCGATTGCAGGGCGGGGTCCCGCTTCCCGAAAGGGGACCCGTTTACTGAAAGAAGGGAACATGCGTTTGGCGCAGAGGCGCAGCACGAGGGGCGCGGAATTCGGGGACCCAGCCCAAATCCCTACCCGGGATTGGATTCAGGAAAGGGCCAAAGCGGAATATGGTTTCGATTTTCCGTTATCGCAGGCCCTGCAACGAGTTCGCTTTAGGTTGCTGCCTGACACGACAAGAGTTAGCTTCTGTCTATCATTTATTGCATCATCGCTCTTTTTCCAGCTGGATTATAATGAGCGCGTCGTCGTCAACATGCACCACTGTCAAAGCGAGGCATATGTGCCCATGGACCAGCAGGATTGAAGCCATGCCATGCCACGATCTCTATCTGACGAATATATGCGGCAGTTGTGCAATCCACCTGTCCTTCGCCTGCCTGACACAACGTTGCCTTCGCCAATGGTCTCCCTCCTCCCTGTACAGCAATGTGCACTTCCCGTCCTGCACGGCGTAGTCCTGCCTAGCCAACGCATGTGGGTCAGGCCAGGCTGATATGCCGGCCGGCCGAGGATGGGGAATGAGTACTCGCTTCTGGAGGGGACGCTTCGCTGCCGCGTTGAGAACTGGCGTAACTCGCACCTAGTTTGCTGTCAAAGCCCTTGCGGGGCAGGCATCTCCGCGAGTGTCGTTTTCGCCCCCGCCAAACGGAGACAAAGCATCTACCAGCGCCAACGCAATTTTGCCTCGTTTAAAATATTGGACATACACGGCGCCCAGAAGTCGGGAATACGGATTTATCTCTGCAGTTGGGGATTAGTGGTGCACGGGACGCTGGCATGCTGCTGCGGGGAAGTACGCGGACCTGCCATGGGTTTGCCACACCCAACGGTGCGCTTTTTCTGCGGCAGCGGAATCGCCTGGTCAGGGGAGATATTTAGCTTTTGGCTTGGAGGCAGTGCATGCAGTATCTGCAGCCGTGCCACACGGCGATTCGGGTGCCGTGCCCCTCAGGCTGGCCCTGACTTGAGGGTGCCTGACGGGACGGCGACGATGTGGATGAGGAGGACGGCGGTGTAGTGGCAGTTCGATGGCTGGCTTTTGTCTGCAGCCCCTGGCACACGTGTGATGACTGCACAGACATCAGGCCAGCACCACCCACGTGGGTTACACAGGATATGTATGGCCTGTGTGGATTCTAGACCATGGACGACGGTGAATGTGCAGGATGTACCACAGTCCTGTTTTTTCCGTTTGTAGGTATTCAGGCGGGCACATGTGGGTGCGCGCTTGTGTCGGGTTAGGGGATTCAGGCGGATAAAGCGGAGTTGGGAGTGGGCGTGTGTTTGCGTCGGGTTGTGAGGATACAGGGGTATAAACGGGGTAGGAGGGTAGGCTCAGGTGACTGCAGGATGTGCCGCGAACCATAAATGGGCTTTAGGATAGTCTGTTGGTGCACAACGAAGATAATCGGGTAGAGTGCCCCCCGGTTGAGACAGCCCTGTGGATGGTGTGTACCTATTACCTATCGACAAGACAGTAGTAATTTAGGCCGCTAGACATGTTTTGTGGGTACGTGCAGCAGAGCTGTGGGTAAATGTCTACATCAGAACCGTGTCCCGCCTCGTTAGCTGCCCCTGGGTGGGGGGCATGCTTGCCGCCGCTTACGCACTCCACACTTGCCCCAGCTGGAACCCCTCTCCCAGTCCCCTGCACTCTGGTTCAAGCTGGCGATCGACTTGCTCACGGACGGATGACCCCTTTTCCCAAATGCGTGGACGCCTTGGGGGATGCCTTTGGGTGGGGGTTGGCGGTGCACTGGGCCGGAAAGTACCTTCTGTGAAGTACTCGCTGTGGCTTCTGACGCCATGATGCCAGGTAGACCACGTGTAAGAGCAGGTGTCAGCTGTGGTTTCGTCAACTAGTTGATGGATTAAATTGCGCTGCGACTGTCGCCATGCTTTCCCTCCGGGAAGATTTCGAGCAGCAAGGACACAGCTGGGCTGGCGTAGGGTGTATGGCCACTCCTGGAGGATGCGTATGTGCTGCCCTGGTGCTGCCTGGTGTAGTAGCTGGTAGTAGCATAGTACGGCACACATGGCGCCTACAAATACGCGCTAAGGGGCTCCAACGGTTTCTTGAGAGGCATTTTCAGTGGCCATACATGCTTGCAAATCCCGACGTCGTCAATACGATGCAGACGAACTACATAGTCGATATCGGGTCGGACGATCAGGCAGACCATGATGTCATTTACATCATGAATATCGTGACAAAGTTGTGGCTGAGATTGATTGGCAGGGCCCTGTGCCTGGAAAATCTGAAGACGGCTAGGCGCCTGTGAGGGCGGCACATGACGTGACGTGGACTGGTCACCCACTGCCCGAGGGTAGGCGAAGGTAGGCACAGGCGGGTGGTGTACGTGGCCGTAAGGGCCCGAGACGGATCCCTTCAAAGAGGGAGATATGCCGTAGCTGGTACACAGTGCGGCACACACCATGTCTACAAATATGCGCTAAAGCGCTCCACCAGCATCTTGATAAGCCTTTTTAGCGGCCAGCCACTACACCTTGCCTGGTGAGCCATATGTGTGCATGCATTACCTTTGTTGGTGTGCCATGCCCACAGTACTGAGTGCGAGCAAGGGTACGTGTGTACCCCACTGTTGTCCGTTAAATGCAGCGATGTGTTTCGTACTGCTGCGTCTGCGGCGCGGGCTCGTGGCAGCTAGCTCGGCCTCGTGGCTCGGGCCCGTGCTTCAGGAGCCAGCCGGCCGCTACCATCACATCCTCCATTGCCTTTTCCGCGTGAAAACTCGACAGACAGCCCCTGCATGAGCTGGGCAGTCTAGGAGAACATGCGGGTTGTCTTCAATTGCCAAAGGATAGCAGTACGAAAACGCTTTGGCAACCGATGCTTGTCTACAGGAGCAGTAATGTCGACATGTGGCAGCCATCTTAGCTTGGCCCAGTTGCCCTCTTGAACGGCAACCCCACCTGTATATGTACCCCCTGCATGGGTCTGGACAAGGCTTGGAATGTAATTTGTCAGCCGGGACCACTAAGTTTTTCAACCTGCGTAAAGCGGCAGCTAATAGCAAATGGACGATGATGCAAGGAGGAAGGGTGGACATGTTACGCACTTCTGCAGTTTACAGTGCCCGCACAAAGTGCGGGTGGGTCCGTCAAAGCCTTAGGGGGGCCCTATGGACCGTTTATGAGAGGTAATGTTACAGGCGGTGTCGGGGGCGATTGTCGACCTCCTACCGGCCCCGTTTGAGCGTGAAGCGCCGGAGCGCTGCGTGCCTCCTGCCTCCCAGACCTTGGAGGGAAAGCTAGCTAATGCCAGGGGGGGAACTTCGGCCATGATGGCCATGCGCATGCGGCGCCCCTTGAAACACAAGTTCTCCCATACTGTGTGTCCGGGATACAGTGTACGAGACTCAAGACATCGCGAAGCATCAGTACGACATTCCGGTTGAATGCCGGTCGCCTCTGTTCGCTCGGAACGTCTTTTCTATCTGCTTTAACACGTGCGCAATACGTGTACGGATATGTACAACGTTGCAACGACTCTCGTGCTTGAAATCCTTATCGTGCATGCGCTAGTTAAGAAGGTGCCGAACATCGGTCCTGACGCCCAGCAGCGAGTACGTCCAATTGCCTCGTTGTCGCAGGAGAACGCCCCAAAAGAGGAAAGTCGAGAAGAAAAATGTCTGCTGGAAGCAAAATAACATAACATCAGAGTAAACACGCTCGTTGACCTCCAGCTTCTAGCAAAAAATGTCAAATACTGGCTCCTTGCCCATTAGGATATTTTCAAAAGACATATTAGCAGCTGTTAAAAATAACGATGTTATTGTAGTTATCGGCGAAACAGGTTCTGGCAAGACCACGCAGCTGTCGCAGGTATCGTCGGGCAAGGACAGCCGTCGCGTCGTTTCATTTTTCTGGCGACCAATGAAGCTGCTTTGATTACAGATCCTATATGAAGCCGGCTATGCATCCGACGGTATGATCGCCGTCACGCAGCCACGCCGCGTGGTGAGTAGCGCAATGTAGGCCCACGTTAGGCAAGATGCGCCGGCACGCGGCCTTCAATCAGTTATTGACAGGCGCTCACACACACAAGCGAGATCAACCAAAGTCTCTGAAAGTACAAAACAATACACACAATACACGAGTGCAGGGTGCAGCGGGGGCTCCAGACGTAGAAACCATTGATATGCTCTTCTTTTGCCCTGCACCCTGCGTTCCTTACCCCACAGGGCGCAGTCACCGTAGCGAAGCGCGTGGCTGAGGAGCGTGGAGTTCAGCTGGGTCGGGAGGTGGGCTATGCGGTGCGGTTCGAGGACTGCTCGTCGTCTGCCACACGCATTAAGTACCTGACCGGTAAGCCGCAAGGCTAAACCCAGAGAGCCAGCCATAGCACCCCGACAAGTGTGCGATGATGATGATGATGATGATGATGATGATGATGATGATGATGAGGAGGAGGAGGATGGCGTCGGTTGAGCCGCATGTCAAAAGTGAAGACTCACTCGCCCGAGGAATAATGCGGACGGCGGCCCTGGGATGGTGTCTGTATGTCTGTATGTGCATGTGTGTGCCGCGTGCCGCCAGGCTTCTATTGCTTCTCGGGCCGCGTATGGTGGTGTGGTGTGGTGCCGGGTCACTTGCACAAGTGGTAGACGTGTAGAACAGCTCCCGGCGGGGTAAGACCCACCCGGATAGAGGAGGGGGAAGAAAGGGGGGAGGAAACGTCCCTTGGGAGGGTCGTGTGCCCTTTGCGCCCCACATAACATCGGGATCCCCCCCCCGACCCGACCCGACCCAGCCCTACCCCCCAACTCCCCACACGCTCTGCCCCGCGTCTGCCGGTTCTGCCCCTCCCCGCAGACGGCACCTTGCTGAGGGAGTGCCTGGAGGACCCCCAGCTAAAGCGCTATTCGGTGAGGCTCCGGAACCACTTGTTTTCCTTGCTTCCAAGGAAAGAATGTCTAAGGGCCCGATGTGGCTTTCTTAATAGCCGTTAATAGCCTCTTAGGGCTCTATTAATAAGTTGCTTGATAGATCGGTCCTGGGCAGTTCCTGACAGGCTTTGCGCCGCTATCGCAACCATCAGTTGGTGCCACGGAGGCCCCCTGCCTCCGCTGCTCAGCTCCCTGCTGCGGCCTGCTGGTGTGCTGGGTAATTGCATTTTGCATGTGACCAACCCCCCGTTTCCCCCTTTCCCCCTCGGCGCCCTTCAGGCCCCCCCATCCCAAAACGACCATGGCAGGAACTCCCCCTACACACATACATGCACGCACGCACACACACACACATGCGCACACGCGTGTGCGCGTTTTGGTAAACGGCCCCCACCCACCACCCTGCAGATCATCGTGTTGGATGAGGCTCACGAACGCTCCCTCAACACCGACATCCTTTTCGGACTGCTCAAGCGCCTGGTGCGCAGCCGCAACACACAACGGGCCAAGGAAGGGGAAACGGAGGCAGGCAGCAGCAGCAGCAGGGCGAGGCGGCTAAAGCTGGTCATTACTTCCGCCACGTTGGATGGGGAGAAGTTCTCTGCCTATTTTGGCAACTGCCCGGTAAGCGGGTAAGTGGAGCGAGAGGCTGGAAAGGGTGGTGGTGGGAGGGGAGGAATACTGGAAGAGCAATTGTCCGGTGGTAAGATATTCGTTTTCTTCCCAAAGTAGGCATGTTCTTTCCCTGACGCGCCTTCCTAACACTCGTACAGTCGTACTTGCGCTGCCCGCTGACTCACACCTGGTTGCTCTGTCCCGCTGTGCCTGACCTCCGACTTTTGACTTCCCCGTCTGTCTGTCTGCTCTCTGTCTGTCTGTCTGCTCTGTCTGTCTGTACAGGTATTCAACGTGCCTGGTCGATGCTTCCCGGTGGACATCATCCACACGTTGGAGGATCACCTGAGCGACTACGTGTCAGCCGCCATCGACACGGTGATGCAAATACACACCAGTCAGCCGGACGGTGGGTCGGGGGGAGGGCCCGGGGCGGGGAAGGGGGGAAAGGGGGTAAGCCCGGCAGTTTGAACACACGGTCCCTCACCCCACCCCATCTCGTTCCCCCGTGCGGCCGTCTATGCTCGGGACGTTTGCAGCTGTTTCCTGCAGGATACACTTTCCAATACCTTTCCTTCTCTGCCGCCTTTAGTTCTTCACTTCACCATCACCACGGTTTCCTTTGCTTTCCTGCTTTCTTTAAGAGTTTCCTTTTATCATCTCGACGGCTACGTAGTGTTTTCTCCGCATTTTCGCCTTCTTTTGGCTTCGGACTTGGCAGCTAGTAAGTAACTCGTCTCGCAACCTAGCTGACCACCTCGCCGCCAAGACTACTACTAAAGTCATCACTGGTCAGGAAATATTTCTTAACAGGAAATATTCCTGAAATGCAGCATTTTTCTTATCCTGGACTATCCGTCTACCTTTGGTATCTGCTTCTTTCCTCAGTGGTTCGTCTCCCCCTCCCCCTCCCTCTCCTTCCCTCACTCGGGGCCCGCAAACCCCCCCCCCCCCCCCCAAAA